TTTTTTCTGTAAAAAATATTGCAATCACATCAGCTGAGCTTGTGGAAAAAAACCAGGCTTTGTAACTGTAAACCGTCCCAGATGCAGGCCTCTTCAAAGTCCAACAGTTTTCATCTGTGTGTCCGCCCAGCACTATTTTAGCTGGGAATTACCAAAGAGTTGGACTGACTAACACAAGGAAGTTAGGTTGCTCTCAGTTTTACAACATTCACCTTCTTTATTTGGAGTTTTTGCAGCCTGTGTGTCTGATGAGCCACTGGGGCCCTCTTGAGGACTCTCTTGACACTTCCTTGCCATCAGGACACTGGTCAGAAAGCAGATCTGCCCGGGTGTGCTTTTTTCAGGCTTTGAAAGATTCCTGGCTATGTGGACCAATTTCTCAGCTCTTGGTAGCTGAATAGTGAAAATACCTTAAGTGACTCGAGGGACATGATATTCACTTTTCTTAGAGCATAAAGTGTAGGTGCAATAGCTTAACCATCTGCAGATGCAGATAAATTGAATGCAAAATAAAAATGCATTCCAACATCCTCTTTGGCTCAGAATAATGAGGCCAAAATATTATTGTTAGGATTCCTCATTGACCTTATGATGGAATGTTTGTATGTGAGAACTTGCAAAGTGCTTTTCAACAATGCTTTCTCTTTTGCTAGTGAAATGACAGCATTAGCAGGGTTCAAGACCACGAACATTGAAGCTGAAGCCTGCAGGAGCTTCTTACGCGCTCTCGATGCACCAGGGAGCACAGACGGATTTGTACTTCCAGCGATCCTCCTGCAGGGGCTGCCTCAGTGGAAAGGTCAGGGGCAGGACAGGTCTCCTGATCCCCCATCTCCTGCTCTCACAACCACCCCACATTTTTGCTTTTGGAGGTACATTTGCCAGTTCACTGAAACAATTTTAGAGAAGCAAGTTGTGGTTTGAGAAACTTAAAATCTTTCATCTACTGCTGAGCTTATCAAATGTTCCAAGAAGCTTTCATACCCTGATTGTGATCTAATCATCTAGGAAGAAGTGCTAAATGCTTCCTCTAGTTACTGTGAGTCACGCTATCCTGTGTTGGCTCTATGGAGGACAGACGCTGCAGGATCGGTTTGCCTCTGTTGTTGACAGGAAGACAAACAGTCCTCCTTTTAAAGCTTGAGATTTGATGTAATCAGGGAGTCTGTATAAAAGGTGGCTTGGAGTAACTGGCTTATGTAACAGCCTATTGTACACGAAGGGGTGAGAGACCTAGCTCAAATCTAGCATTCAAAGGAAACAGCCCCTAGTGCAAAAAGCAGTGGTCTTTATGTGTTTTGGGATGCTGGTATTTTCATCCTTCCATTCTTCAATCATAGATAAACCCAGCTGACCCTTGTGTTTGTCCCCAAATCTCTATGTGCCAAATTAGTCCCCGCTTGAACTTCACAAGGACTCAGTTGAGATGAGACGATTAGGTGACTAATTAGATAATTGCTACTAGGTAGCTGGCGTTTTTGTTTATTTGCTTCTGAAATCAGTCAGAGCGTTCTTTCAATTACAGATGTTTGCATGTTGGTTGCTTGGGCGTGCCCTTCCGCTCCTTTTCCCGAGCTGTCATCTTTTACACTTGTGTGTCTGTGTGTGTATCTACTCGTCAGTGTGCAGGCCTGTATCTGGGCCTGCGTTGAATACAGAAGGGTCTTAGATATGAGGGCTTTGGGTCACATGGGTGATGGGCTGGAGAGTGAGAGGGTACACTGGCTGGCATGGGTCCTGGCTTTTACTAGAGGTGGAAATTAGAACTAAAGCCTGAATTTTCAGGAAAAAGCTTTAATTGGAAAGCAAGAGAAGATGGTAAGTGGCTGTAACTGGAGGTGCTGACAAGCATCAAGCTGGTCCTTAACAGAGGAGGTAAGAGAAAATAGAAAAGGGACTCCAGCTTGAGTAGCTGGAGGGGCACATTGGTGGAGAGGAGCAGACTGCCCCGTCAGGAAAGCAGGAAGCCGGCTCTTACGGATTAGCTGAGGTAGCCAGGGTCTGGTGAATCATTATCTCACTCCTGATTCCCGCTCAGGTTGATTTGTTTTTTGTTTTTGTTTGTTTTTTTTTTTTTGGTTTTTCTCCGGTACCTGGAACTGAACTCACGACCTTGCGCTTGCCAGGCAGGCACTTTTGCCGCTGAGCTAAATCCCCAGCCCCTTTAGGTTGAATCTTGAGCTACACTTGGCAATTCTGTTCCTAGGGATGAATCTTCAGGACTTGATGGTCAATTCAGTTCCCATGAAATGAATCCTCATGACTTAAGGGGCAATTTCAGTCACCTGAGGCTCTGCTGGAATCTAAGGTGACCTTAGGTTTCAGGGACTGGAAATTCTGGGAGTCGCTGAATGTCTGTAAATCTCATATTTTGGTATTCATGGTCTTGAAGGGTAATGAAATAAGCTAAGTAAATTTAGGGCTAATAAACCTTGTTTTGCCAATTTTTAGATAGACATTCCCTAAATTGTTAGCATGCCTGTATGCACAAATGAGAAGACTTGGACCCAGAGTTTTACAAAATGAAGGTCAAGCTTTGTTCTACTTTTAGTTACCCATTGGGTGTTTGTAGGCCCAAGTTAAGTCATAGTTTTTAGTAAAAGCCACTTTCTTTTTTTTTTTTTATTTTAAAGAGTAAAAGAAGGATAACATAATAATAGGGGGGCTTACCAAATTACAGACAAAGTGGTAGGAAATTATCAATGGTTATTGTTTTACATATTGTTATCTATAAGATAGTTTCTCAGGAAAACAAATAGATAAATAATAGTGAGTTACAGACAAAAGAGGTAGGAGATTATCAATAGTTGTTGTACTATACTTTGGGATCTTCAAAGTGGTAAAAGCCACTTTCAAGTCCCTATCTTAGAAGAAAACACAAATCATGCATTTATTTATTTATTTATTTTTGATCATACTTTTAATGAGTTAAGGGCCCAGGAGTTAGTTTGTCCTTTGTCCTTTGACTATGTCAGGTTATGTCAGGTGTAGATTAGCTCAAATGCATCTCTGGCACCAGAAAAAAAATTGAGGATGTGATGGAGATTTGTCAGCTAAAGGCCTTCTGATTCTTGTCCACCTCATCTACTGTTAGACCCGTCCATGTCAGGTGTACTGTAGGTGTGGCGCTTCCAAGGAGTGGGGATTGTCTATTTACTGCATTAATCTCTCTAGTCCCTCCCCCCGTATTGCTGAGGATTAAACCCAGGGCCTCTTGCATGCGGAGGGTGAGTTTTATCACCAGCCTCATCCTTCCCTGGTTTTTAATGCTCTCTCTGCCTTCAAGTGCTAGAGGAGAAAACTGCTGAACGGTTATTACCTTAAGATGTTCTTTGTTGATTTAGTAGATTAAATATTCCAGTTTCTGATTTTATGGACCCTTTTGTTTTTTATTTCTGTTTTCTGAGACAGAGTCTTGCTATGTAGTTCAGGCAGGCTTTTTTTTTTTTTTCCTGGTACCTGGTATCGAGCTCATGACCTCGCACTTGCCAGGCAGGCTCTGTGCCGCTGAGCTAAATCCCCAGCCCCAAGACAGGCTTTGAACTCATGGCAATCTTGCTGCTTCAGCCTCCTGAGTGCCAGGATTATAGACATGTGCTACCATGCCCCAGTGGGGACAGGCTTTTCTGTCTGTCTCTAGGGGCATACTACAACTGAGTATTTTATGTGTTTCTGGCTCTGCATAGCAGTACTGATTATCAAAATTCTAGCATAAAGTTCTTAAATGTTCTGTGTACTGTACATTCCCTTGTTCTGGAAAATACACATTGGTAATAATCACGTATGTACCCATCAGAGAATAATAGTTTCTAACAAGATGAAGAGAAGAAAGTGGTTGATATCTCTGATAATTACTATTACTCCATAAAGACAGGATATTTTAAAAAGTTGGATTGGCGTGGTTGTGATTTTGTTTACATTAATGGCATTCTCAAACATTAACTTACAGTCCACTTGAGATCATGTAGAGCTTAAAAGAATCTAGTGGAAAACTTATTTCAACAAATAGCTTAAAGACAAGAATTTGCCACAAATTGAAGTTCATTTATTTTTTTTCTTAAACTTGCATAGCCAAAGAATCGACAAGTTTTATGGCACATTCATTTTTATTCTTTTGCAGTGCTGGAGATCAAACCCAAGGCCTACTGCATGCTAAGCCCACACTGTAGCACAGAGCTACATTCACAGCCCATGTGGCATATTATTTTAAGGATGTAAACAATTTATAACATCTCTATATTTACTTTATTGTACCCTAAAAGGATATTAAAAATTCTAATGAAGTTCTTTGAGTGAAATGAGGTTTCTCCAGAAATTTGGAAACAGTCAGAATAAAACACACTTTGGGGCCTCAGTTTCTTTTTTTTTTTTTTTTTCTCAGTTTCAAGAAGTTAGCACATGAGGTTGTCTTTTGTGCATGTGACAAGCTAGGAGGTGCCGTCCTTGGGAGCTGACAGGGGTCATTCCCTCAGATCTCAAGGGTTCGCTTGGACCCAGGTTCCAAGACCTCCATTAAAGCACATGGGTCCCATATTCCAGGAGGAGGTCATCTACTCTTGTGACTTTTGGCAAATTTCCAGGTAAACATAAACCAACATTATCTGGAAGATGAACTTTCTCTTGGTCAAATAGAGTGTTGAATTTTTCTGGAGCTTCTCTTTCATGCCCTTGCTTCCCACCATTAACATGGTGTTCATTTTGATGACAATTTTGTTTCACTTTTTGTATTTTTTCAGAGAATACTAAGTACTTGATATGTGCTGGGCACAAGCATCTGTATCTCACATGCACATGTCACATGTGGGGTGAATTAGAGCAGGACAGTCAGCTTTGTTGCTAACCAGTCAAAATCATTTAACCTCTAAAAGAAATCTATAAAATGATATGTTTGGTCCCTTGTAAAACTAATATTTTGTGATATAATTTCTCTAATTTTTATTGGCCCCAAATAGCACTGTTCATATCCACTGTCTGAGGCTTCCTTTCTGCTTGTTTTTCAGAAAGGTGAAAATAAAAACTGGAGAATGGTTCTTTGAGGAACGAGCCAAGAAATTTCCTACTGAAGGTAAATAGTCTTAGAACTTTCATTCAAGTAAACTGACGCATTCCTAGATTTAAAATGTTTGGTGCTAAGACTTTAATTATGAAAAAGCCTTATGGGCTCAGAAATGTCAAAAGACAAAATTACAATAAATTTTCTTATGGACCCAACAGCTTTTTCACAGCTCATGAGTCAGGCAGCCTTCAGGGTACAAAACAGAATGAGACCTCGTACTGGGTGATAGAAGGACAGTGGGATTTGTCAGGTAGGGACAGGAAACAGAACAATAGAAGGAAAGCTGATTGGCTAACAGGTTATTTCAGGTTACTTTTTTGTAAGGATTAAAGCAAATGGAATGTCCTTAATATGTGGACTCATGTAGACTGGAATCTCCTGTTTTAGGGGGAATATGGTCTCTCCTGTTTTGGGGATCTGCTTCTTTAGCAGATAGATACCTGCCTCTTTAGAGTTTCAGTTTGATTATGTGGTGTTTAGCGTAAGTGACTCCATTTTGTTTTGGTCTGGTCTCTTAGGGTCTAGTATAGGAGCAACAGCCTCTGTAAATTTTTTCAAGTAGTAGATCAGCCCAGTGTCTGGCCCTCCTGTTTTATTTGCTTGAGCTTTGCTCCTTCTGTACCTTAGCACACACCTTTCATCTCCTTTACTTTTGTCTTTTTCCTCTCTACTCCCTGTCTTGGAGCTGGCCACCACCTCTAAGGCTTCTGCTCCATGAAATTTCCCTGTCCTCTTGCTTCTAGGAGTGATACCTTCTCTCTAGAACAGCAACAGCTTCCAGACTGTACATTTCTTCCATAATTATTGCAAAGTGCATTTTATTATGGAATTATGCACATGCTTCTATTTCTTTCCATAAGCAGAAAGTGCTTTTAAAAAATCTCATTTGCCTCATAGCACCAACTCAGTACTTTGTTCTTGATCTTTGATCAAAATAATTGAATAACTGAGGACCACAGGGAGTGAACAGCATTAGAAGAGAGCAGGTACAGGTGATTCCACGGTGAGCACATGCTGAATATGAGTGGAAGTGTGCCTTTGATCTGGATACCGTGACGGTCCTATAATGAAGTGCTTGCAAAGTATGATGTGACTGTGTAATCAGTAGCTAAGACAAAACCGTGGAAAGAATGAGTAGTGCTTTGGTCACAAAACTGAGCATGTCAGCTGTGTGTGGTGGTGCACACCTGTAATCTCAGCACTCGGGAGGCTGAGGCAGGAGAATCATTGCGAGTTCAAAACCAGCCTGGGCTACAAAGTGAGCTCAAGGCCAGCCTAAATTGCATAGTGAGACCCTGTCTCAAAAAAACCCCCCCAAAACCCGAAAAAACAAAACCAAAAACCAAAACCTGAGCATGTCCCAGTATGATCAAGAGCCAGATAAAGGTATAGACAAATGTTATCAAATCAACTCTTCTGTGACCGTGATTCTGGTGCCTTAGACCAACCTAGACAGTACAGGGTAACTTGAAACATGCTTTCTAGAAAACATGAGTTTGAGATAGAGAAATAAGCCATCTCTAAATTTGTTGACAGTAAGAAAAGCCATTCATTTGATCACTGATAGCTTTTATACGTGGCACTGGTGCCTGAGGTACAGAGTCAGTAAGTACTAACTTCTCCCCTAGATTATATTCCTGGCCCTGCGTACTCAAGAAAAAATGATGCTCCTGCAGAGTTCATTGGAAATCTAAAGGAAAGTAAAATGCTTGGGCAACAGAAGGAAGCAAATGTGTCTGGCTTCATCAAAGCCAGTGTTTCAGCCCAACCCCCCACCCCAAGTAGCTTCGTTAGATATGTTTTCCTAATGCTGTGCCCTACATTGTGATAGCCCAGGCCTTGTGTACACATCCACGTACTGAGGCCTTCTGGACAGCCACAAACCACTCATTGTGATAGCTGCAATGTGTTTGTCCCCTGAATACCAATTTCTGCCTTAAAAATTGCCTCTACCCACTAACATTTAGAATATGTAATTGAGGCGAAGACACATAACACAGGGGCTGTTTCTGTTTTTATTGCCTTGTTCCATTTTTTCAAATTATTTTATTCGTTGGGGATCTAGAGCCTTTATCAAGTGGTAGATACAGTCTCATATTCTTCTTTTTCCTTTCCTTTTATTTTATTTTATTTTATTTTATTTTAAAGAGAGTAGTAAATGAGAAACAAACACAAAAAAGTAGAACAGTAGCAGCATACCAGTATCATGAACATAAACGAATCGCAGCAAGAACATTCAAAGTGATACAGAGTCTCAAGACAAAACAATACGAATCAACAGTGGTTGTTACATTACATATCACTACCCTCAACTACATTGCTCAGATTACCAGATGTGAGAATGAAAGACTGCTCAAACCATTAAAGAGAATAAGAAAACAATTCTTCGATAAAACATTAGAGATAATGCAGAGTTTCACTAGACAAGACGGTAGAAGTTCACCATTGTAATTCCATTGCATTAGTCTCATATTCTTTGTCTGTCTGTCTGTCTCTCTGTTTCTCTCACCCCTTCCTCCCTTCCTGTCTTTTCTCCTTCCCCTTCCCCCTCCCCCCTTTCCCCATTCCTAGTTCAGAAACAAGACTGCAGAGAATAAAACTTGTGATGTCTCAATACCAAGACATCCTGAAAATGTTTTAGATAATATTGCATCATTATATCAGATAAGTGAATTAATTTTCCATCCAGGATGTGCATGAATGCGTGCCTATGTGAGTACGCCCACATGGTGCGTGTGTGTGTGTGTGTGTGTGTGTGTGTGTGTGTGAGAGAGAGAGAGAGAGAGAGAGACTGGGTGTGAATGAGTTGGTGGGTGCATGTGTATACACACCCGTTATCTTTTTAGCACCTCTTCCTCTTCTTATCAAGTGGGAGATGTAGGTTACCATGGCAACTTACTGAGATAAAAAGGGGAGGTGGAAAGAGAGAAAACTGATATTCCAGGGTTCCCTTTCTTGCCTAGCAACTTTCTACAAGAAAGAAAATGTCAGTGAGGAAAGAAGCCGGGCATGGTGGTGCATGGCTGTAATTCCAACCCTCTGGGAGACTGAGGCAGGAGGATTGCAAGTTCAAGCCCAGCAATTTAGCAAGAAGCTGTCTCAAAATAAAATAAAAATAAAAAGAGCTGGCGTTGTGGCTCAGTGTAAAGGTACCAGGTTCAGTTCCCAGTACTGCTAATAATAATAATAATAATAATAATAATAATAATAGTAATAATAATAATAATGAAAAGAAAGAAAAAATAATGTCAATTTAAGAACAAAATTTTTTTTTGCTAATGTTATTTCTGCCAACTTATAAAACAAACACTAACAAACTCACAGAAAAACCCCAAATTTGTTCTCAACAGTGCTTCCTCGAATGCTGAGGTGTCTCACAGTTTTTTTGGTCCCGTTTCAGTGGCGTGGGCGTCAAGAGGCACAGAGAGAAGCAGAGAACTGCCAGGCAGGGCCGGCACAAGTAGTTTTTTGAGGCAGACCAGGTGGGGGTGGAGTTTGTAGCAGGGGACTCAGGGAAGGTAATGAGAGTCACCTACTGAAGGCTTATGCGGCTAGGCAGGAATCCGCCTTCCTCCTTCCTGTCTGTGCTGCTAAGGAAGAAGCAGGAGAAACAACGGAGAGGTGGAATTAAATTTGTGCGCTGGCTCAGTTAAGGTCAAGCTGGGAAAATAGAAACCGTGTGGTAATTTGAACAGTGAGCCCTGAATCCAGGGGCTGGCTAAGCAGACACTATCGGGGGACTGAAAGAGCAGAAGGGAGCAGTGAGGGGTCACAGAGAAGGTAACTGCAAGAAGCAGCCACCCCGCTGAGCAGCAGGCTCCTCTGCTGAGGCCACACCAACCGGGCAGCAGGGGAACAGGAAGGACTGGACCCCTCTCCCTCCTGTCCCACTGGAGCCCCCGTTGTACCTTAATAGAGATCCAGCTATAATCTCAGCCCTCTGAAGTATGCGAGAAAACAATGTGATTTTGCTATTTCTATATTTTTTTGTTGTAATGTTACGGACAAGGCTTTTTCCAGCTCCTCCATCCTAAGCTAAAAAAATCGGATGGTTTAAGCCATAAGAGGCTATGAGGCAACTCAGATGTACGCCTCTTGGTAGGAAATCGGTTTATCTATTCCTTCACAGCAAGTGTCCCTAAAACTTAGTGGCTTACAACAATTAACATTTTTATACCGCTTCTGTCTTCAGCCGAAGCCTGGGACTGGAGGCCCTGCTTTCTTGGGGCTCGTGCACGTACCTGGCCAGGTGCTGCTGGTGCTGGTGGGAGGGCTCAGTTTCTGGCTATATGGATGTTTCCACGGGGCTGCTTGAGTGTCCTCATGAGCTTCCCCCAGGTGTGTGATCCAAGAGAGACAGAGGCAGAGCACTATGATTTTACTTACTGATTTAGTGGCACTGGGGATTGGACCCAGGGCCTCATGAATGCAAGGCAAACACTCTACGGCTGAGCTATGTCCCCAGCACCGGAAGATCCTAGATCAGTGAGCTTCAGAAGGCACAGCCAGTCCTTTCTGCACTATCGTATTAGTCTCACAGGTCAGCTATAAACAGGGTAAGAGGGGTTACACAAGGGGGCAGCAGGAGACGCAAACGAGGGGCCCTCCTGGGGCTGGCTCTCCTGTACCCTTACTGGGAGAGCAGCACACCTCTCATTCTGCCTCCTGCCTCCCAGACCTGAGAACCACGTGCAATACCTCTGTCTTGCTCATCCACTGCAACACTCAGTCAGCAGGTCCTGACGCGTGTGCTTCCCCGCATCTGTTGACTCTTCCCTCTGCCTTTCACTCCCACTTCCAAAGCAGCAGTTAGTTCCTAGCTGCTTCCTTCCATCATCCATCTTCTGTTCTGCAAAGAAGAGCTTATTTTTCTCTTTCAAAAGGAGTTTTTATTTTCTGATACTAGAAGTAACACGCACATTGCAGAATATTTGTGTGACTCCTTGTAGGAAATGTGTTATCCAAATGGGAAATAGAACAAATTGCAGATTGTTATCCGATCTCCTCCC